TGTCCTCACGGGGTGCATACACACACAGCAGGGGGCGCATTGTAGTGCGCACCTTTGAAGGGCAAGGAATTGGAGACACCCTGAAGGTCCATCAGCAGTGGGTTACTTACATAAGTTAGAGGGCTGGGTCTCAAACGGGGGCGGGCACCGGGCTGACTGACAGCTCCCAGTGTCTGACTCAGGCTAGGGGAGGAAGGACTCATGGATTTTGCATTACAAGTTCCCAAGTGACGATGAAGCTGGGGGTCCAGACCACACTTTGGGAACCATTGGCTTCGAGGCTCTACTAGTAAATACTCTGAAACTGATCAGAGGACAAGGTGGACGAGCTGCAAAATATAAACAACCCCAACCCCACCCCCACCAAAAAATACATCAGGCCGGCACTGAGGATCCCCATGACATTGCCCTCCCTGGGTCATCTTAGTCTGCATCCTCCGTGCCTCACAGACCTGAGAGGACACAGACCTCAGCTCCCATTTGCTGCTAGGAGGAAGGGACGGACTCCCATGGTGGGGGCGGGGCAGAGGGGGCAGAGAGAGCAGGTAGAGCTGGGTTCCCATTTCTGCTCCTCACTGACGGGCTGTGTGTCCTTGGGCAAGTTGCTTAGCTTCTCTGAGCCTCACTTTCTCCATCTGTGAAATGGGAAGCCCAGGACCTGCCTCCCTGGATTGCTATCAGGCTTAAGGAGCTGCTTGCTGTGTACAAAGTAGTATCGTCAGGAAAAAAAAGAAAACAAGCATTAAAGCCCTGGCTGGTTTGGCTTAGTGGTTAGAGCGTCGGCCTGTGGTCCAGAGAGACCCGGGTTCGGTTTCCACTAAGGACACGTACCTTGGTTGCAGTTTGTCTCCGGCCCTGGTTGGTCGTGCGGGTGGCAGCCACTTGATGTGTCCCTTTCACATCGATGTTTTTCTCTCTCTCTCTCTCTTCCACTCTATCTGAACAAAAAATGGAAAAAATGTCCTCGGGTGAGGATAAAAAACAGAAAACCAAAGTAGTATCGTCGGGTGCCGACAGAGAGGCTCAGTAAACTGATGAGGACTTTCTCCAGCCTCCACACATCCCTGAGTCGCTGCGTGCTGTGACTGTCCCCTTCTGGACTCTGTGTCTCAGGCGTCTCCCATGCTGCCCCCAAACTGTCCAAGCCTCAGCCTGGCACACATGGGACCTTCACCCTGAAGGAACCTGGAGGCCACCTCTCTGTCCTCTCTTGGGGTCCTTGCCTCCTTGCCCATCCTCCCTCTCGACAGGCCCACAGGACACCCCAGAGCACAACCCAAGCTGGGAGTTACACACTGTGGGGAGGATTCCCAAGGCCTGGGTGCCCCATGCCCCTGGGCTGCTCCTGGGAGAAGGGTCCTGGTACCTCCTATTTTCCCAGCCAGGAGGCCTGCCGGTTCCCACATTACCACATGAATGGGGCACAAGCCCCCCGTCCACTCAAGCAAACAATTTGGCTAGCAAATTGACATAATTATGAGAGACAGAGAGGGAAGAAAGCGGCCCCCACCCCACGGCCTCCGGCAGGCGTCTCCCACAGAGCTCCTCCCAGGCTTTGTAGGCGCTCAGGGCTGATTAGAAGGCTTGTGGCCTTTTCAAGAACCCTAAGTGATTGGCCCCCTTAATCTGATTACAATTTGCAGAGCCCTTCCAGCCGGCTCTGAAGGGCCATTCTCAAGCACCCTGCTTGATGGTGTGTGCACAGGAGTACACACACACACACACACACACACACAGCACCCACTTAGGCCTGCAGGTGGGAGGATCTGTCTCTTTCCTCGACACGCCAGGGTCCTAGTCGCTGTCCTGAGTTCTCAGCCCCCTCCAGGGTGGCGCTAATCTGCAGACACACGCAGGAGGCTGACGCTGCCCCTAGCACCCTGGGTCACCTATGCTGAGAGTGTCCCACAGGGGCACCCCCCAGACCAGGGCACGTGTGCACACTCACACCCGTGTGCACACTTCCCCGCCGCCCTCAGCATCCAGGTGCAGCCACCCCGCCCCATCCAGGGCAGCCCTGCCCCCACAGCAGCCGGATTTCTGGGGCTCCTCCGGCTGCAGCTCTCAGGGGTCGCGGCCTAGCAGGCAGCCTGGACACCGCGCAGGCACAGGCTGCTCCAGCCACCCCCTCCGGAACGCAGCTCGCGGGGGCTGCCGTCAATGGCCTCAGCCCTCCTCATCCACTTTGTAGCTCTTAATCCCCGGGGCTCAGCCACAATGGCTCCCTTTCCCGTACTTGCATCTGGCCCTCGAAGGCCCCAGCCTGGCCTCCCACCCCAAACGGAGCCCTCCCGGGCAACAGCTCAGGATGAGAGTGGGGTGGACGTAAGTCTGGGGTCAACACAGAAAGAGACAGAAGAGGGAGCTCTGCCCTTGTGAGCTAACCACCTCCACCCCAGCAGGTGCAAGTGAGTCCCAAGTGACCCCCAGCCTGCTGCACCCCCATCTTCCAGGCCGCTCAGCCTGGAGGCCCTGAAGAGGGTGTTCTCCACTTAGGAACCCTCTCTCAGACTGGCCTCAGGACTCCTTCTCCTGGCTGGGCCCAGGTTCAGACAATGGAAGCAGAGGGAGCTGGCTCACCCTCGCACCACTTTGAATAACACTGTGACCTTGGGCAGGTTATGTGTCCTCTCTGGGCCTGTGACGTGGGTGTGTATGAGTGGTCTCTCTCGGGGTGGCTGGGAGGTTGTCACAGGGCAGTTAAGGCACTCAGCGTGGTACCCAGCACATTCTGTGTGAGTCAGGGACAGAGGGGACTTGGGGTACAGCCATCAAACAGTCAGATGAGGGGCAGTGTCGGGGTGTGCCCCGGCATCCCTGCTGGCAGCTCCAGGCTCAGCAAAGCTCAGTGAGGACCTTTGCAACCAGTTTGCCAAGTCAAGCCTCCCGGTGGCCAGCATTATTATTATTATTATTTATCCTCATCCGAGGACATTTTTCCACTTTTTGTTCAGATAGAGTGGGAGAGAGAGAGAGAGAGAGAGAGAGAGAGAGAAACATCGATGTGAAAGGGACACATCGAGTGGCTGCCTCCCGCAGGGCCCAACAAGGGCCGGGGACAAACTGCAACCGAGGCACATGCCCTTAGCGGGAACTGAACCCAGGTCTCTCTGGACCACAGACCGACCCTCCAACCACTGAGCCAAACCGACCAGGGCCAGCATTATTTTTTTTTTAAGTCCTCACCCGAGGCCATTTTTTTTGCATTTATCTTCAGATAGAGCAGGAGGGAGAGAGGGAGGAAGAGAAGAGAGAGAAACATCGACGTGAGAGAGACACATTGAGTTACCACCCACACAACCCCAACCGGGGCCAGAGACAAACTGCAACCGAGGTGCATGCCCTCAGCAGAAACAAGCCCCAGACTCTCTGGTCCACAGGCCGATGCTCTAACTGCTGAGCCAAACCGGCCAGGGCAGTGGCCAGCATTCTTAAGACTTCATGGTCTTTGATCATGTCGCCCAGAGATAGTTTAGGCAACGGGCTCAGGTCCCTGTCTCTCCCTCCAGAGGGCCTCCCAGTGCAGTGTCAACGTTGCCCAGAGGTGAGTGCCAGACCCCCGCCCTGGGTGCCCTCCATGCACAGCCTTCAGGACCAAGGTCATGTAATCAGGGGCCCCTGCCTCTGCCCCAAAGCCTGGTCCTGTGTTGGGCATAGTTTACTACATTGGGAGAACCGCTAGCTGCCCTGTCATGCAGGCTTGGGGGACCCCCTCCACCCTGCACCTCTCCCTTGCCAACAGGCCCTGCCCAGGCCCTCCGTGGGCGTGCCTGGCGAGATCAGAGCGGCATCAGATGAAATCAAAGCGCCGGTCCCCCCCAGCGCTGTGCCCCCGAGCACTGCACACCTCCTCCTTTGTCACAATGTTTTCAATCCGATGAAGCAAACTGTCCAATTAGAGTCGGGGCCTCCAGCTTCCATCTTTGCCGACATTTAATTAACATGCTCCTCTTGGCAGCTGCTGACAAGTTCCAGAAACAGGTTGTAAAGGGTTTTTGTCTTTACCCAGCACGGAAAATGAGGGGTGTTCCATCGCCGGAACATGAATAGGTTGCATTTCAGCTCCCTCCTCCCCTCCTCCTCCACCCCTCTTCTCTGGCAAGGAGAGTGAAGGCCTGAGTGTATGTGTGTGTGAACTGTAACAGAGGCAGGGAGGGCAGATTTGGAGGCAGGAGAGACCCTCTCCTCCCTTTCCCCTCACCCCTTCTTCTCTGGAGTCTTTGCTCCCCAAAGGATCCGGATTCTGCTTCTTAGTCTCCAGCTGCCAGACTTTTGCCTTACGTCTCTTTTAGCCAAACCCAACCTCACCATGTTGACTCCCATCCCTGAGTCTCTGCCTATGCTGTTGCTTTGCCGTTCTTCTGGTAAACTCCTATTCAACCTCCAAAACCTTACTCAGGTGACCCACTCCGGGAATCCACCTGGGCACTGAGGGCCTGTCAGAGTTCAGGGTGGATACTGGGTGTCAGGTGGTTCCCCAGCTAGACTGAGTCGCCCGAGGGCAGGGGCTGTGTGCTACTCTGCCCAGGGCAGTGGCAGGCCTCATTAAGTGATGGGCAGTCTAAACTGATGACCTTCCTCTGCTGTGGAGGGAGAGCGAGGCTGGCTTGGCAGGGAAGAAGGGAATGGTTGGGGGAAGGAGACTGGCTTCAAAGAGCCCTTCCACCCCACTCCCCACCCCCAGCGCCCTTGAAGTTGAGTCATACTGCGGGCACAGGAGGATGGCAGTTTCACAGTGGGTGAGTTTCTGGGATGGTTGATGTGTAATAGAGTGGGGAGGGGCTTGGGGAGCCTTGCCAGGGGCTCCAGGCAGGGGCAGGTTCTTCTGCCTGGGATTATTTTCCTTGCAGTGTAGATGGCAGCTTGGGGTGGGGGGTCAGGCCTGGGGCAGGAAGCCAGGTCTCTTGGGTCCTGTTCTTCCTCAAACTGGCCCTGCTGGAGTATTCACACCCAATTTACAAAGAACACCTAGAATGTTTATTCACAGAGGCTGCCATCTGCATATGGCACAGAGGTCTGGGGGACCAGGGAATATGGGATGTGCAGGCTGAGAGCCCAGCATGGGGGGAGAACCCAGCAGTTGATGACTGGCAGCCAAGTTGTCACCTGGGATGGCTCAGGTCCACTTCCAGGCTCAGCCCCCCTCCTGCCTGCTTTTCTTAGGATGGGGCCACCAAGACCCCTGGAGGCAGGCCCTCTGCAGCAGGCACCTGGCTTGGATGCCACTTTGTCTATTGCTCCTCCTTCTCCATCCTCTGGAGGGGTGGCGGCACCCTGCGCCACGCCAGCAGGCGGGGTGCTGCTCCCCTTGTCCTTGTGTACCCAGCTTTGCCAGCACCAGCTCCTCCTGAAGCACTGGGAGGTCTGTGAAGCCTGCAGGAAGAGAGCCAAGGGCAGGGGCCACTGTCAGGTCCTGCTGCAGCCTCTTGGGCACTGTTTCCTTTATGGATGGGATGAGCACTACCAGCACCTGGCCACAGCCTCGCTTTTCTCTTTCCTTAAATCCCAGCATTCTCTCCCGCCCCATCATTCAGACCTTTGCCCCAGACACAGCTCTTTCCAAGGAGCTCAAATAGTGATAAGAGCAATGATAATGACCTGGAAAAGACCCCCACTGCAAGCTGCGTGACCTCGAAACGGAGAACCTCTTTGAGCCTTAATTCCCTCCTCTATTAAGTGGAGGGAAGTAACGGCACCTGCTATGCAGGGAAGGTTGGAGGGTTAGATGCAGAAGGCATGAGAAGGGGCTTGGTGCCTTCCCAGAGGGGCAAGGAAATGTTAGTTGGTAGAAAGGAGGAAAGAAGGAAGGGTCTTGCTTGAGTCGATCAACGAAATGGAGCCACTCCTATCCTGCCCACTTTTATAAATGCGACTCAGTCTGGGGAGAAGAGATCCTCAAAGCCACTCAGCCAGTAAGCAGCAAGGCCAGGTCACCATCCATCTACTCATTCTAGTCCAGAGCGCCTCCCACATATTCCTGCCTGCCCAGTGTACACTCCGTCTGACTCTGAGCATCTCTCCCACCAGCGCCAGCGTGTCCACTCCACTCCAGGCAGGAGGGGTAGAAGCACACGTCCTCGTTTTTTGATGCTTTCTTTTGCCCCTTTGCTAGTGGTATCTGATTCCTAGGGTTGGGCCCCCACCGGGAGAACCTGCCCATTGCCCCCCACTGACCATGCTTACCTGCTTTTCACCTGCCCTGGGAGCTTAAGGTTCTGATGGCTTGAGGGTAGAGTCCTCAGGATGTAAGGCAGTCTCCTTGTGCTCCTCAGGCACCTGCAGAAGAGGCAGTTCTGAGGGCCTTGCCCCAGGCTGGGCTGGTGTCCCTCAGGGAACTGGACAGCCCTGGAAAGTCAGGAGCCGCAAATGGTGTGTGGCGGGCGCCACCTAGTGATCACCGTGCAGATTGCACGGCGAGGAGCAGGACAGTCATTCATATCTATCCCGCCTCAACTTCACGTCCGTGTCACTGTCCAGGGTGCTGGGCACTACAAGGACCAGACAGAATCCTTGCTGGACTAGAGCAATGGGAAAACATTCAAGTGTTGTAAAAGCGCGCAAAAGGCTGATAACCCAGCTTGGGGGAATTCCAGCTGTGCTGAACCAACTTTTGAAAGGTGTGTAGTAAGTTGTGTGCCAGGTGGGAGGCAGGCAGCATGGTAAGCTTCCTGGACTGCAGGCAGGTCCAAAAATGAGGTGGAGGAGGCGCCGGAAGTGGATCAGTAGGTTGTGTCAGGTGGAGAGGATCAGCCCTGCCTCGGCCTCAAGGCTTAGATTTAATCCTAAAGACTGCTGTCTCAACCCTACCCTGTGCGAAGTCATCCTTCAGGTAAACCACCCAGTAGCTGGAGGGGCAGACATAGGACACCCCGATAGTGGCTCACTTCCTCTAGCACTGAATTATATTAATCAACACAGAGTGCGGCTGAGGGACATATAGCAGGGAAAAGGTGTGAACTTAGAATAAAGTATACAGATAAAAACAGAACCTCGTGCAAACATCTAAGGGAATCAACAGCATTTTTCAGTTTGTTTCATTAGCATTAAATCCCTGTGGTCTGTAATTGTGGTGTCTAAAATAGTTTAAGTTCTGACTTTAAATATAGAGTGAAAATAGTTATGCTGCTAACAAAGAAAGCTTATTAAGAATTAATAACAGCCCGGCCTGTGTGGCTCAGTGATTGAGGGTGGAGCCATGCACCAAGAGGTCACCGGTTCGATTCCTGGTCAGGACACATGCCCAGGTTGAGGGCCAATCCCCAGTGGGGGGCATGCACGAGGTGGTCAATCGATGTTCTCTCTCATTGATGTTTCTATCTCTTTCTCCCTCTCCCTTCCTCTCTCTCTAAAATCAATGAAAGTGTCTGGCTGGTGTGGCTCAGTGGTTGTGTCGACCCATGCACCAAGAGGTCGCCAGTTCGATTCCCGGTCAGGACACATGCCCAGGTTGTGGGTCTGATCCCCAGTGGGGGACATGTAGGAGGCGCTAGCGCTAATCAATGTTCTCTCTCATTGATGTTTCTCTCTCTCACTCTCTCTCTCTCCTCTCTCTCTCTCTCAAATCAATAAAAGAAAAAATTAAAATCAATGAAAAAAAATAAAAATAAAGAATTAATAAGAGAGCACTTCTTATGATAGCTAAAGAGAAGGTGTAAGATACCCAGTTGGCTGTGTAACATCATCTCAGCTGTGTAAGAGAAATCCAGGCAGAATATATATTTTTAAAGATGAAGAAAATATACTAAAAATATTAACAGTGCTTGAATTAGGGTGATGGAATTTCTTTCTGTTTTTCTTTATTTCTAGATTTTCTGTACTGAGCTTCCATTCGTTGTATAATTAAAAAATAGTTTAAAGGGAATGATTTAAAAAGGCATATTCATTACATACATGAAACTGGCGTATAGTGAATATTAGTTCAAATGGCCCTGAAAATCTTGGTGTGGTTTTATTTTAATTTTATTTTTTAAATATTTTTTCTTTATAAAGAGAGGAAGGGAGAGGGAGAAAGAGATAGAAATATCATTGAAAGAGAACATCAATTGGCTGCCTCCTGCACACCCCCCACTGGGGATTTGGTACACAACCTGGGCATGTGCCCTGACCGGTAATCGAACTGGTGACCTCTTGGTGTATGGGTTGATGCTCAACCACTGAGCCACACCAGCCGGGCTCTTCATGTGGTTTTAAAAATACAGAACCAAATGAAAGGCGGTGATGGGCAGACTCTCATCTCAGGGGACACAGATGCAGGCTGGGTCCCTGCCCTTGTCATGAGAGGGAATGCAGGAGACAAGAAGGTCTCTCTGCCATCCTCCATCATCTAACACAGGTGAACACCTCAGTGTTCAGTGACTGGTGGGGGGAAGGACTGGCGGAAGTCACAGGGGGCCCAAATCATGGCATGTTTAAAAAGACATTCCAGCCCTGGCCGGTTTTGCTCAGTGGTTAGAGCGTCAGCCTGTGGTCCAGAGAGCCCCGGGTTCGGTTCCCGCTAAGGGCGCGAACCTCGGTTGCAGTTTGTCCCCGGCCCTGGTTGGGTCGTGCGGGAGGCAGCCACTCGATGTGTCCCTTTCACATCGATGTTTCTCTCTCTCTCTCTTCCTCTCTCTCCCTCCCGCTCTATCTGAACAAAAAATGGAAAAATGTCTTCGGATGAGGATAAAAAAGAAAAAAGACATTCCACTACTTTTAGCTTCTAGAACGATGGTTTCCAAGTCAGGATTCTGTATGAGCACCTGCAGCAGCCCTAGACCGGAGATGGGAGGGAGCCTCCTCCTGTAATGACAGGTTGGCTCCCGGCGGGGTTAGGGGGCTGCATTTGGGAACAGGCTCTGGAGGTAGACATGCTCCCCCTGATTTTTTGATTCAGGAGGGATAAGTTCCCAGGTGATGCCAGTGGGGATTGCACGTTGGGAATTATTGTTCTAGATTAAAGCCTTCAACCCCCAGAGACACAGCCCCCCAGTAAAAGGAGTAGGGTGATGTCCCCAGTCCTCAGCGTCTGGCTCCTCAGGCCCCAGCTCAGCTGACTGCAGGGTCGGGGGAGAGGGGAGACAGCCGTCCTTGTGCAGGGGGACGAGTCTGTAGAACTCACCTCCCAGTAGATGGCATCCTCAAAGCAGTTCTCATCTGCAGGTTGTCCCCAGATTGGTATTTTTAAAATGGATCCTAAAGAAAGTTGGAGGTCACAAGAGGTCAGGACCTACTTCCTCCCTCTCTGCCCACCCAGCCCTTCCCCTCGGCTGGGACAATCTCTCCAGTCCTGTGGCCATGAGGGCAGAGGCAAAGGCCTCCTCGTGGTTCATGGCTGTCCTCTGGTACAAACTCTTGGGTCCCCCAACCTCAAAGCCTCACATGGGCCCCCACTTCTGTGGCCCAGCCATTCCCACTTACCCACAATGAGACCGCCCACCAGAGCCATGGCCAGGGACACAAAGATGCCTGCAGCCTGGAAACAGCCCTGCATGCTTGGGGACCAGTTTTTCTTAGAACCTTTAAAGTCAAAGGCACGGACAAGCCTGGGGTGGAGACAGGAGGCAGGTCAGGACTCCGCAGGGAGGCCAAGTAACCATTTGCTCCCACCCCACCAATGTGAGCAAGCACCCTGGGCCTCAACCTTGCCATCTGCGAAATAGGGGCATGGGACACATCAGATGTTCTCAGACTCTTGTGGAAGGGCGGAGCTTGGGGAAAGAGGCCCATGAAAAACAGTCTTCTGGGTTGGGAAGGACCAGGATAGAGACACAATCTTGGACCCCAGAGAAACAGCAGGGAGGAGGAAGGGGGCAGGAAAGAGGGAGCTCACCTCCCCTGCATCTCCTCCCTACGTACCCTTCCTCTCCATATATGTCACTGGTGGCACAGGCCGCTGTCACAGCACCCACAATGCCGCCGATGATGCCCGGGATGCCATGCAGATTGTGGATGCCACATGTATCCTGGATCCGTAGATGGGACTTCAGGAATGGCTGGAGGGGGGAGATGGGTGCTGCTCAGGCTGGGAGCTATGGCTGGGGTGGGGGGAGGCCAGGATTCTGGAGGTCCCCAGTACAGAGACCCAGGACTCTCCAGCCCCCAGCCCTGTGCCCGGGCCTCACCGTCAGGTACACAAAGCCCAGGGTGGAGACGATGCCGCAGATGAAGCCGACAATGAGGGAGCCATAAGGCATGAGCATCATCTCCGCGGCGGTGCCCACAGCCACCCCTCCAGCCAGCGTGGCGTTCTGGATGTGCACCTGGTCGGGGTGAGCAGAGCAGGCAGGAAGTCAGTCCTGCAGAGCACCCGCCTGGAGGAACTGACCCAGAGGCGCTGTGTCTGGGCGCCTCCTGGCCCTGAAGCCAGGGATGGCTCAGAGGGTACTTGAGCAAGAGACTGCAGAGGGCTCCCGCCTGCGCCAGGCTGGGGACAGCCACCCCTGTGTTCTCTGCACATGTGCCACTCACGCCAACACTCTAGGCATTTTCTGCGTGCACAAATCAGTGTACTTGTGTCCACACTGGTGAGCCCTGTCGGCTCATCTGCTCATTCCCTTTACATCTGGGTGCCCGCATACCTGTGTGTCAGGTTCGAATGTCTGGTGTTCTCTGCGTGCAGTATGCCGATGTCAGGCACCTGTGGGGCCTGTGCACACACAACCCATGTCAGAGTCTGGGGCCTCTGACAGCACCTCAGACTCTCTGAGGGCCCACCTGAGCCAGGTACTGTGCTGCTGGCTCAGGGGATTCTTTCTTTCCATCTCCAGAAGCCCAGGAAGTCAGTACAGTTATCTTTGGATGTGTGCAGATAAGGAGATTGATGCCCGCACAGCTAGCAAGAGGCAGAAAAGCATCTTGATCCAGGTCTGTGTCGAGCCAGAGCCCCTGACCTTGACCATCTGCCTCCCTGCATGCCCAGGTCGGTGTGTCTGATTCTGTTCCCCCTGGTACCTGAGTCCCCACCTGTCTGCACAGTGACTGTCCGGTGCATCCAGAGGCTCATGGCAGTGTCAACGTGCACTGTGCCCATGTCAAGAAGCTAGTGTCAGACTATTAGAGAGGGATTTTACAGAAAAATCTACCAGTGACAACAATCTCCCCACTAACGACAAAAACACCTGTCCCAGTGGTGTGATATGAAGGACACTGTGCAACACCATGTCCCCACAAGCCTGTCTAGTGGAGTGGACAGGGCATCAAAGGGATGCCCCTCTTGTGTGTGGTTGGGCAGGTGTAGGCGGGTTGAAGAAGGCTGAGGGCCAGAAACCTGGCAGAGGGGCAGTGCCCGGGCAACCCTGCTGGGCAGGATGGATGTGGAGCTCAGTCCAGAACAGCGGTTGGCGCCCCAGGCTGTGGGGAGAAGCACGAGGAGGGGCCCTGGCTCATGTAGAACAGCCTGCATAACAGAATCTCCAAGTGTTTACTCTGGGCTCTGCTGAAAGCCAGCTCCGCACTATCTGGACAAAGCATTTCTCTCTGAGCCTCAGTTTCTTCATCTGCATGATGGGTGCGATGATCTTTATGCTGCTTGCATAGAATCGCTGGCAGGGCATGGGGATGCATGCCCACTGGGCATAGGCGGTCCTAGCGGCACCTCTCCCCAGGTCCCCCCGGCCCCCCCCACTGCTCACCATGTCCAGCTTGCCTTTCTTTTGCAGGGCACTGGACATCGCCACTGCGGTCAACACGCAGGCTGCCAAGGAGCAGTAGGTGTTGATGGCAGCTCGATGCTGGGCATCTCCGTGGTTGGACACAGCTGAGTTGAAGCTGGGCCAGTACATCCACAGGAAGAGGGTGCCTGGCCAGACCAAACAGGGCCAGTGGGCCAGTGAGAAGAGGAATTAGGTGGGTCCTTTAGCTCCAAAGATATGAAATGACCCCCATGCCCAGCTGTTTCCCACCTCTGTCACTTGACTCATGCTGGGGGCTCTTCCGGGAAGGCCCTTGCTGCCTTGCTCGCCACCTAACTCCCACTCAGCCTTCCACTCGGCTCCAGGACGTCCACCCCAACCCCATAACTGAGCTAAAAGCCTCCCACCTTGCTCCCACAGCACCGTGAGGGACAGTCTTTCTCCCCACTTAGGGACATTAGCTGGTGGCACTGTCATGTCTCCCATGACACCGTGAGGAGCTCCTGGAGTGCAGGGCTAGGCTTTAAGAGACCCGAGTGGGTGGCTGATGTGTGTTCTCTGGAACGGACAGACACAGGAAGTAGGATCGCACACCCTGCTCCGGGATGGGTAGCGCTGTGTCTGTCCCGGGGTGTCCTAGGGAAAACCTCCCTCTGCCCCTCCCCTCTGGGGAACTGGCAGGCACCCACGGGAACACGGGAAGACCAGTGTGATCGCGGTGGCCTGGACCCCTCACGACCACCCCCACCCATCCTGGTGGCCCTCAAGCACCCTGGCAGCTCTCACCGATCATGGCAAACAGGTCGGACTGGTACACGGGACCCTCCCTCTCCTTGCTCTGATACAGGTTGGGTCTGTAGAGGGTCCAGGTCACTGTGAGTCCAAAGTAGGCACCGAATGTGTGGATGGTCATGGAGCCCCCTGCGTCCTTTACCTTGAGTACAAGGGGCCTGTCAGGTTCTGACACCTTCCTCCACCATCCCCGCATCACACCCAGACAGCGTCCAGCTGTCTCCGACTTCATGAGCTACTAATGGAGCTGAGGGCTTCCGCAGACCATTCGGTTGGGAAAAGGAGAAGGTGGGGATCCCTGAACCCAGGCTGTAAGCCTGTCAGCAAAATGCCAGGTCATGCCCGGCCAGTGTGGCTCAGTGGCTGAACGTCGACCCGTGCACCAAGAGGTCGCCGGTTCGATTCCCGGTCAGAGCACATACCCAGGTGGTGGGCCCGATCCCCAGTGGAGGGCATGCAGGAGGCAGCCAATTGATGTTTCTATCTCTCTCTCCCTCTCCCTTCCTCTCTTTCTGAAAATCAATGAAGAAAAAAAATTTTTTAAATAATAAATTCTCACCTAAGGATACTTAAAAAAAAAAAAAAGCCAGGGCACCCTCACCTAGCAGATGGGATTGAGCCCAGGAAGCTAGTTTGTCCACCACTAGCCTCCACCATATGTTCAATCCAGGAAATTCTCCTCTTCCCTCTGGGTGTTTTCTCTCTACAGTTCCAGCTGCACAGCATTCCTGGCCCAACACCACCCATCCAGACTGCTGTGACCCATATCCCCACATCCTGTCACACTCCTCACTCTCCAGCCTCCCAGCTAACTCCCCACTGTCCACCCCATCCCCACACACTTCCCCCAAAGTCAGAACAGGACTGTCTGGAGGATTCAACTGGACAGCTTGAGTAAAAGCACCAGACACCCAGCAGGTGCGTGACTGATTTCCTTCCCTGTCCTCCCACATCCCCTCTCTTTGGCCTCCTCCTCCTTCCTTCACTCCAGACAATCTTTAGATCAGGAAAACCCGGCCAGAGCAGTAAATGTGCCGTCTAAGTTCCCAGAGCTAGTTTTTGACACAGCTGGTGGATGCCTCTACTAGCTGTGTGTACCTAGGGTGAGTCTCCTAACCTCGCCGAGTCTCAGCTTGCTTATCTATAAAATGGGGGTTATAATTGTGCCTTTCTCGGAGATAACCTATGTAAAGCAAACCCAATAAATGTCATCGCTCCCACTTCGGAGATGAAGATGCTGAGGTTCAGGAGGTTAAGAGACGTGTGAAGGTTGGTTGAACCCAGCCGGCATGTCTTCCTCCCCCTGCCTTTCTCAATCCCTCTGCTGAACCCCCAAGTGTCCCCTCCGCCTTCCTCCTCATTCTGCTCCCTGCTCACCCCTAGCAGGCTCAGGAGGATGAACTCATTCACTGAGAAGAGGGTCACTTGGAAGAGAGTCATGATGAGCAGCTGGACGGGGCTGACTTTGCCCAGAATTGCCCCGAAGGCCACACAGACGGAGCCCACACAGAAGTCCGCGTTGATGAGGCTGTGGGGAGAGAGGTCCAGGAGGGGCCATGGGCTGCGGTCTCTCATGTGTCAGGATGGAGGACCCAGTCCCAGCCCCTGGAAAGGAGACCCTGGGGTATCCCTGCAGCCTCAGACATAGGGGGAGGGAGGCCCTCCTACGGCACTTACAGCTCCCATCCTGGAGCCTCGCTGGTTGGGAAGCAGTGTGTGCGTGTGTGGTGGTGGTCTCAGGCCCCCTGTGCCCATTGGATGAGGAGGATGGGCTCCAAGCCCCAGGCCCCGCCCCTCACCCAGACACCGCCCCTGGACACGCCCCTCACCCACAGGCCCCGCCCCTCACCCAGACACTGCCCCTGGACCCGCCCCTGGCACCGCCTCCACCCAGGCACTGCCCCCTCGCCCGCCGGGCCCCACCCCTCACCCAGACACCATCCCTGGGCCCGCCCCCTCACCCGCAGACCCCGCCCCTCACCCAGACACCGCCCCTGGACCCGCCCCCTCACCCACAGGCCCCGCCCCTCACCCAGACACCATCCCTGGGCCCGCCCCCTCGCCCACAGGCCCCGCCCTGGCACCGCCTCCACCCAGGCACCGCCCCCTCGCCCGCAGGCCCCGCCCCTCACCCAGACACCATCCCTGGGCCCGCCCCCTCGCCCGCAAGCCCCGCCCCCACACTCACTTTTCCACGCCCACGAAGATGTAGCCGTCGTGGAAGGAGTGAAACCAGCCCTGCATCAGCAGCGCCCACTGGATGCCGAAGGCCGCCAGCAGGAAGTTGAAGCCCACGGAGCTGTAGCCATAGCGCTGGAGGAAGGTCATGAGGAAGCCAAAGCCCACGAAGATCATCACGTGCACGTCCTGGAAGCCTGCGGAGGGCAGCCAGGGGAGATGACAGCTCCCCCTCTCCACCCTCACCCGGGGTGGGGGTCGGCTGCAGGGAATTTGAAATTGGGGCAGGGCTGTGGGTTCCACCCGGGCCTAGGGCCTAGCCCTCTCAACTGCTTACTGTGGAGAAGTTAGCCCATCTGGGCCAGGAGTCCAGCGACTGGCCAACCGCATCCGCTGACCACCCAGAGGAAGGAGGACTGTCTCGCTCCCCCACTCCCAGCAAGTGCACTTTCCAGCGTCACTGCCTTCAGAATTTGGACCCCAGTTCCTGCTGGAACATCACTGACCATCCCTGGGTCTCAGCACCTTCTTCTGCAATGCTTACCCACAAGGCTGCCGAGATCCAATGCCCTTAATGTATGTCAAGCGCTTAGCAAAGTGACTGTCCCCATCACAGGTGCTCACACTGGACAAGGTCATTGTTTTTACTTAGGCACACTCTAATTCTCAGGTCTCACCCAACGCTTCTGCCAGCTCACAGTGTGACCCTGACAAACCACTTCCTCTCTCAGAGCCAACGATAAAACTAAAGGGAGGGCCCTGGCCGGGTGGCTCGGTTGGAGCATCATCTCGTACACCAAAAGGTTGTGGGTTTGATTCCAGGTCAGGGCACATACCTAAGTTTCGGGTTCAATCCCTGTTTGGGGCACATATAGGAGACAACGTAAGAGGTCGATGTTTCTCTCTCACGTTGATGTTTCTTCCTTTCTCTCTCTCAAAATCAATAGAAACATATCCTTGAACAAGAATTAAAAAAAAAAAAACTAGCCCTGGCCGGTTTGGCTCAGCGGTTAGAGCGTCAGCCTGCGGTCCAGAGAGACCCGAGTTCAGTTCCTGCTAAGGGCACGTACCTTGGTTGCAGTTTGTTCCCGGCCCTGGTTGGGTCATGCGGGTGGCAACCACTCGATGTGTCCCTTTCATGTCAATGTTTCTCTCTCTCTCTCCTTCCCACTCTATCTGAACAAAAAAATGGAAAAGTGTCCTCGGGTGAGGATAAAAAACAAACAAACAAAAACTAAAGGGCGGGATTGGAGTGACCTCAAACTGTCCCCCCAGAGCTAACGTTGTTTGGTGCTCGATTCCCAGGAAATAACAGAAGGCAAAGATCTTTGAGAAGCAGAGACAGTTACAAAAGTATAAAGGGCACTGACAGGAACTGCAGGTGTCCCCAGACACAGGGGCCAGATCGAAGGGCTCCCATGGGCCGAATCTGGGATAATCTGAACACCAAAATAATTATGTACTATCGTGATTAAAACCACTCAAAAAATAGCAGCTCAGAATAAGTACATCAATAAATGAGCTTGCAGGGAGGGCTCCTGCTTAAACAGCATGCTGAGGGCCCGCCTGTTAAATGCGGAATAAGCCCAAGTTGGAAAATCGTAATTTTCACAGTAAAGGTACCATCCGTGGTTCCTAAGGCCAGGGAGAAGTTTTGATGTTAGAGCAGGACATTTGCACTGTCATAAAGAGTCTCTCCATAGAATGCGGATGAGTTGCAAGGGAGGGAAAAAAACAATCAAACAAAAAAGCACCAGTAATTATACAGTGGGCAACATTTTTCCTGGGTGATCAAAATTAACATCACCAGTGAAGGGCAGATGGACACCGGTCACCTTCAGATGTGAAACTCTGAAAAGGACATTTTACCTGTATGGTGTTCCCGCTGGGAATGCATAATCCCAACCTAATCATGAGGCCACAGACACAGAATAGCTTGCTATTAGAGAGGGATGAGGCTGTATTCTTGAAAAATATCAAGGTCATGAAACACAGAGATAGACTTGCTCCAGGTTAAAAGAGGCTAAAGAGACATGCCCTCTAAATTCAATATCTAATTCTAGACTGGATCCTGGCTTCTGGTGGGGGTGGGGATAGATGGGGGGGGGGGGGTCCCGTAAAGGTCACGATTGGCAACATTAGATAGAAACAGTAGATTAAGGTATTGTCTAGTGCAAGTTTATGAGACTGGTTACTGCAATCTGGAACAGAAAACCTCTATGCTTAGGAAACATACTGGAGTAATTAAGGCTACAGAACTGTATATAACTGGCCCTCAAGCGGTTCAGAGAGAACAAAACCATGTGTTTTCATCTATGTGTAGAGTGGGGGAAATAGCTGTACTATCAGAGTTAGAGTATATACTGCTCTTTATACTCTTTTTTTTTTAGCAACTTTTTGTAAATTGGAACTTATTTCCAAATAAAAAGGCCCTGCCTGCCTCCCCCCCCCCCCCCCCCCCCCCCCCCCCGCATTCTGCTTCCCTCATTCCTACCCTCCCTCCTCTGCTGCACTGGCCTCTCTGTCCCTCAGCTCCGCCTGGATGGAGCTGGCTGGCGGCCAACACCTACTCTTCCTGCAGGTCTCAGAGTGGTGCCACCCGGCACAGAGGCCCTCCTGTTCCAAGTCGGCTCTCTCTCATGGCACCCCTCTCCTTTCTCTTCTAGTTCTTTTTCTTTATTGATTTTAGAGAGAGAGAGGAAAGGAGAGGAAGAGAGAGAGAGAGAGAAACACGGATGAGAAAGAACATCGATTGGCCGCCTCCTGCACGCCCCCCACGGGGGATGTGCCCTGACCGGGAATCGAACCCGTGACCATAGGTCGACGCTCAACCACTGAGCCACACCGGCTGGGCTCTTTTCTAGTTCTTATTACAGTTTGCAGTTGGGTTTGTTTGTGTGGCCCACGCCTGCTTTGTTCACTCTGGTATTCCCCAGCACCTAAGAGAGTGCCAGGTAGACCCATGAATGAATGAATGAATGAATGAATGAATGAATGAATGAATGATTGTGGTGGTTCTCTCAGCAGTACCCAGATGTGCCAGTCGAGCAGCAGTCAGGGAGCCCCAGCACCCCTCTCGAGTCCCACACCTCCTGCCCACAGGGCCGAGAGGCGCAGGCGCCCACTGCAGCCTGGCCAAGGTGGGGGGCAGCCATGCTTATACTACAGCTGCCCTGATCTCACTTCCACGGATGGGGATTTGCCCTCCTCTGTCTCCCCTGGATTCCCTGAGGCCCAGGCTGCAGCCGCAGACCCCTTGGTTAGCAACCACCTGGAGGCTTGGGGCAACTGGTACACCGCAGGGTAGGGTTGAGGGGCCACACAAGCTGATGCAGGAGAGCTGTGGGTGTTGCCCAGCTCAGAATGCTCTGAGCTGCTCTGTGGGGACCTGTGCGCGTTTACACAGACAGCCGCTCGGCTTGGGTTTCACAGTGTGCAACACGGAACTCGTGTGTCACCGTGTTGCATGGTTGATCCCGTTTCCAACTGCTGTGGGGAAATTGAGCTAATGTCTGTGAGGCAGCATACAGAGTATTGCGGTTCTTCCCGGGAAGAACTGATGGGTGACAGACTAGAGGAGAGGTGTGAAACAGGGAGGAGACACATTCAGACCCCAGTTCCAGAAGCAGGGAGGGGAGCTGGCAGGATGGCAGGGCTGTTGATAAACACAGGGAAGTGGGAGGAGGGTTTGGGGGGTGGGAGGGAGGTGCTGGGTCTAGTGCTGGCCGTGGGGGTTTGAGAGGACCACGGGCGGGGGGTGGGTGATGAAGCAGGGCGTGGGGGAGCGGAGGCTGGCGGTGCGGGTTGGAACTGAGATCTGAGTTTGGCCTGCAAATAGAGCTGTGAGTCAGAATGTGAAAACGATGAGGGGGAGACAGAAGCGGAGAACAGGCAGGGAGATGGGCGGAACCCCTGGAAAAGACATCACAGACCGTGGGGGCCTTTCCAGGAAAGGGTATCAGCTGTCTGGTGGCAGAGAGGGACGATGGGGACAGGGGGGAGGCTAAAGAGGACTGGGGGGCGCCCTCTTGGGAAGGCAGTTGCTACTCCAGGGCTTCCCCCTGCCTGTCCCCTCTCACCTGTGTTCTCCCTGCCTCCAGGGTGCCCTGACCTGGCTCTGACACTCTCTGGGGCTGTCTCTTCACACACACACACACACACACACACACACACACACACACCCTCTCAGGCACACGGACACCAGCTTCCCTCCCCGCTGCCTTGGGCATCTCCCCGGTTCCTTCTCTTGCTGCCTTTCTCTTTATCTCCCAAACTGGCCCTCATTTGCAACCGAAATGTACCAGTTTTTGAAGTCATAAAGTTTGCTTTCAATAGTAATGGTTTGAAGGGCCAGACTGTATGACCTTCAAGGACATAACCTCTCTGATCTGTCTTTCCCCGAAAAATGGAGAGTAGTGAGTGTGCTCAGATAGCACTCACCTCGGAGGTTTCTGCTGCACATGTACCAAGGAAGTCCAACCAGTGCCCTGGCTTAGGCCTGGCTCTTTAGCAACTGCTCAATCCTGTTAGCCACTGTTTCTTTTTTTTTTTTCTCTTTCAGGACTGACCAGCTTTACATTCACTGGGTTGGCGACTCACTGAAGGTCAGTAGAAGTTGGTAAGACACCCCTCCTGCCCACTCTTTTCCCAGCCTGGGGTGACTCAAGCAGCCCTGCCTGGGGTCTCTTTTGGGGCAGAGTGGCACGCTGGCTGCTATCCCTGAGAACTGCCACAAGAGGGCACCAGTACACAGCTGTTTTCACTCTCCGCCCGGGTTTCCGCCAGTGCCACTCACCAGCTGAGAGCTCAGGCAAACCTCCAACCTCCGGTTCGGGCACCACAACATAGAAACAAATAAATGCCACACCTGAGAGCATTTGCAATGCAAAAAGCACTTGTAAGTGGGCCCAGCCCAAAGGAAGTGAAATATGAATATTCAAGGAGATATTCCTTGGTTACATTTCTAAAAAGATGCTGAACCTCCACTAAAATACCTGTAGCTGCGCAGCACTCTCTCGTATGAGGAACTCGAGACCAGCATTTACTGTTCTCTTCATGCCATGAGATGTGCCCTACCAGGCACCTGCCACCTTCAGCCTCCCTGGAGAGCCTTTGCCTTAAATATCATCCCACTTCAAGGATGAGCACACAGAGGCTCAGAGCCGTGAGGGAGTGAGTGGACTCATTCCATTTAGTGATGGACCCAGATCTGTTTAATTCCAAAGTCCAGGTTACACTGCCCTCTGCTGGTGAGAAAGCTTGACCTGAGGGTAGTTCTTCCCATTCCTGAGTCCTAATGCTTTTCTAGCAATTTTCCATGGTGCTCAGCACTGTCTCCCACCAGCATCACCCCTGCCCTGTGAGGCCGGTAGGTCCTGTTTCGTATTCTCATTCCACAGGTGAAGACAGAGCTTCAACGTGGTTGACATTTGCCTATCATCCCGCCCAGCTATCGTCACCCGTCACCTGCCTCACCAAATTAGCCTGACTCAATAGAGCAGGCTGATGTTTAAGTTGATAATGTTGTGTGGCCCTCCAATGATGTTATACATATTCAAGTGGCCCTTGGCAGAAAAAAAGGTTCCCCGGAAGCCACCCACCTGGTGAATGGCAGAGTCATGACAGAAGGAAAGGCTGGTGATTCCAAGGCACGCTCTTAACCACAGTGCTTGGGTACCTGAGAATTTGGGGGTGCTCCTTCTCGCTCTCCCGTGGTCTCACACACCTCTCTCCTGGCCGCAGAGCTGGCACTCCAACCAGCCATGCAGCTCTTGTCAAGTATGACACAGCTGGACAAGGAAGCCAGAATCACCCACTGGCTGGTGACTAAAATGGGACTCACTTTTTTTTTTCTTTTTTTTTTTTTTTTTGTGGTACGTGCTCCTCGCGGGACTGAACCTGGGACTCTCTGGTCCGCAGGCTGATGCTCAACCGCTGAGCCAAACTGGCCAGCGCAAGGGACTGTCTTTTGAGGACATCACCAAGGGCTCTCTGACAGAGAAAAGGAGTTTGTGCACACCGGGCCATTGCTCCGGTGTGATTCCCAGAGACTGGAGGGTGCCCGAGTGGGGCGGCATCTCCTCCTCGGTGCCTTTATTCCCAGCCACAGAGCTCAGCCAGGTGAGGACGGGCTAGGACGTGCTGGAGGTGGGCCTGCAAGGCGGCGGCACTTACTGGGGTAGCGATAGTAGAATTCATTGTCAAGGTCGCTGGAGAGGTTCCCGGGTCCCTTCTCCTCCATCCAGTGGGCATCGGCATCGGGGTCGTAGCGCACGAAGACGCCGAAGAGGACCACCATGGCCACCTGCAGGAGCAGGCAGGTGAGCGGCAGCCGCCAGCGGAGGTTGGTGTTCCAGGCCATCCCGCTGGGCGCTCCTGGTCGGGCCGGCTGCGGCCGTAATCCGACGCTCCGAGGAGCACAGGCTTATAAAACCCGGGCAGGGGTGGGGCGGCCACCGCTGGAGGCGGAACAGCTGACCTGGGTGCCACCGCACGCAAGCATGCTCAACCGGCGAGGGGACCACTTGCCCGGGCTCCTCTCCCCGAGGCGCCCGCGTTGGGAAAGGGGCCAGCAGGAGGAGCAGGGGCCCAGAGGGCAATGGGTGGGGGCGAAGACACCCCGACCTCGGTGGAGCCCGTGCATAGCGGGCAACACTTCATTGCTCCTTTTGTTCTGGGGAACCCAGAAGAAAAAGCTGGTGCACTGCCTCCCACCAAGATAAAAAAACGAAGCAATTCCCAGCCATAAATCACCCTCACCTGCACCATCATCAACCTTTTCTTTTCCTGATTACACAATTCTTTTTTTTATAATTTTTTTTTTTTTTATCCTCACCCGAGGACATTTTTCCATTTTTTGTTCAGGTAGAGTGGGAGGGAGAGAGAGGAACAGAGAGAGAGAGAAACATCGACGTGAAGGGACACATCGAGTGGCTGCCACCCGCACGACCGACCAGGGCCGGGGACAAACTGCAACCGAGGTACGTGCCCTTAGCGGGAACCGAACCAGGGTCTCTCCGGACCGCAGGCCGACGCTCTAACCGCTGAGCCAAACCGACCAGGGCTGATTACACAATTCTTAACAGGAGACACAGAACACCGGGAACATCTGAGAACCTGCCACAGACCAGAGAGGAGACACCTTAATCCCAGGTGGTACCCAGATTGCTTCCTTGAACAGAAGGAGAGATGTCAGTGGAAAAACTGGTGGAATCCAAATAAAACCTGAAGTTTAGTTGGTAGGGAGGTGCCCACCCACACTGGTGTCTTAGTTGTGACCAATACCCACCGGTTATGTTAACAGTAGAGGCAGCTGGGGGCAGGGGGGAGTATACAGGACTCTGTACTATCTTTGCAATTTTTCTGTAAATCTAAAATTATTCCCAAAGAAAGGAGTATCAAGGAAAAATTATATAAAAGATTATAAGAAGTGTTTAAGAGGTTTGAACAAGGTCACCGAGCCGTGCACAGGAAATTATCTATTGGTTAATGTGTATGATCATGACATGAGTTAACTATGGAATTTGAGTTAAATTTATGCTTAGCCGGTATGTTGTGAAAATAAATTCGATTTTCTAATTTTCCTTTTAGGAAAAGGTAATACAGGTATAGTGTAGAGATTTGGGGAAAAAACAGAAAAGCACAAGGAAGAAACCAAAACCCACCTGTAATCCCACTACCTACAAACAATGCTAATAAGAGAGGGATTCATACTACAGCACTGGTTATGGCTTGCTTTAGTCATCTAATACTTTGTAAAAAACCCTGGCCAGTCTGGCTCAGCGGTTGGAGTGTCAACCTGCAGACCAGAGAGTCCTGGGTTCGGTTCCCGCTAGGGGCACGTACCACAAAAATAAATAAATAAATAATAATACTCTGTAAACATCTTCCCATATTCTTCTTCTATAACATCATTTTTAAAAATACATTTTTTATTGATTTTTAGAGACAGAAGAGGGAAGAAAAAGAGAGAAAGATCAATGCAAGAGTGAAACATCAATTAGCCGCCTCCTGTACACCCCCCACCAAGGATCAAGCCCACAACCCGGGCCTGTGCCTTGACAGGGAATCAAACCTGAGACCCTTCAATCCTTGGGCCAAGGCTGTAACCACTGACCCACTCCAGCCAGGGCTATAACATCATTGTTTTAAAAAATATTTTTCCTTTATTGATTTTTAGAGAGAGAGGAAGGGAGAGGGAGAAAGAGATAGAAACATCGATGAGAGAGAACATTAACTAGCCACCCCCTGCATGCCCCCACTGGGGATCAGGCCCACAACCTGGGCATGTGCCCTGACCAGGAATCGAACCAGCGACCTCTTGGTGCATGGGTTGATGCTTAACCAGTGAGCCACACCGGCCGGGCTATCACATCATTTTTAATGGCAGCATAGACCACGCTTTATGTAACCAATCCCTAGCGTTAGACAATGAGGTTTTTTTATTTGTTTGCTATTATAAATAATGGTGCCATGAGCATCCAGGTACATAGTTTTGCATGGGTTTCAGTGACTCCCTAGAGGCAGACTTGTTTTGAGACATATGCTAGATTTCCCCCCAAACAAAGTATGCACCTCATGGCTCAGGAGTGAGAGTGGATTTGGAAAAAATTGCTGCCAGTTTGGATCCCAGATGTGTAAAAACCACAAAGGCCACAAAGAACACCTGAAGCTGAGCTCCCAACCAGCGTGCTGGGTACTCAACATGGCCCCACAGCACCAGCATGGCGCACCAGGGTGTCCCCACTCCCTTGGCACGAGAAGCACTATGAGCCAGACACAGAAGGAACAACACTAGCAAGAAGGGCCAATTATTACTTGCCTGCTGTGGCCAGACCCTTTTTGTTTTTTGTTTTTATCCTCACCCGAAGACATTTTCTCATTTTTTGTTCAGATAGAGTGGGAGGGAGAGAGAGAGAAACATCGACGTGAAAGGGACACATCGAGTGGCTGCCACCCACACGACCCAACCAGGGCCGGGGACAAACTGCAACCGAGGTACGTGCCCTTAGCGGGAACCGAACCCGGGTCTCTCCGGACCACAGGCCGACGCTCTAACCGCTGAGCCAAACCAGCCAGGGCTTGAGTGAGGATTTAAAAAACAAACAAGCATATTCTAATGATCAACAACCCTTGCACGATGGACAGTGGAGCCCATCCTACAGATGAAGAAGAGGAGTTCTAAGAGGCCAGGGAGCATGCTGGAGTTCAAACGCTGGGCTGTCTGATCTCAGCACACCATGCTTTGCCACTCTGCACAGAGCCGGAAGGAAGGTCTGATATCAGGTGTGTGCGCCCTCTGTCCAGAGAAAGACATCTAAGCACTCAGCAAGGGGAGTGAATGCAGAGCAGGGATGCAAGGGCTGGGACCTTTGGGGACGAGGCGGGTAGGGACACACAGGCTCCTAGAGTCATCCATTCCCAAGGGGATCCTTTAGGATAGGGGTGACATCTCATTTATAACTCTCTCCCCTGCCCACAGCACATGCAGGTGAGGAGTGGGGATTTAGGGCATGTCTTGAAAAGATGAAGGAAGGGGTGAATGATGTTCTTTGAGCACCTACTATGTGCCAGGCATTGTTCCAGGTCTGGGATGTACCAGGGAGCAAAAGACGCAACATGCCCTCATGGAACTTGCATTTTTTTGGGGGGTGGGGTGGGTAACGAAAAGCAAACAGACAGGTAAGTCAAGTATGTAGAATATTAGAGGGTGACGAGTACCAAGGAGAAATATGATCCCCTGCCGCAGCTTGTACTATACAGAAGAAGCCAATTGAGAGGTACTGGGGTGATCAGGGTGGGCTTCACGGAAGAGGGGAGCTGATCTAGGTTTTGCAGAGCAGATAAGAGGCAGGCCTTCACCCTCTGCCCTCTTGTCTCATCCATCTGCCACTAGACTCTCCACGAGCCATATAAGGCCCTCGAAATCAATACCAGCTTACATCACACGCCTCACCAAACTAGCCTGACCAAATATAGCAGGTTAATGTTTCAGTCGATAATTTTGTATGGCCCACGAATAAACTTATAAATATACAAATGGCCCTTGGCAGAAGAAAAGGTCCCCCACCCTTGCCGAGGATTCCAGGCCACCTCCCCACCCCAGCCCCATACTTCTGATGACCATACGAAGGATGGAATTCTGGGTTTGTCCTCTGAGACCAGGGTTCAAGAAACCGGTTGCTCAGGTTGCTCAGGAGTTTCCCCTAGAAGTCAGCCACTTCCTCCTAAACGTGGGAGCAGGAATCATAGGGAGGAGGCCTGGGGAAAATGGTTCTCTCTCCAGGGAAGAGAGGAAGGGCGTTGGAGCCCCTTTGGCAGGCAAGGGGGTGGGGGTGATTCAGATGATCCTGGTAGCCATGGCGAGGGAGGCGTGCAGGGACAGTCCCTGTGCTGTCCTTTCTTCTGCCCATTCCTCTAGTCACATTACCACTGGCCTTCTTGACCTCGGTCCCATGAACATCCTGAGATTGTGACAAGGGCACTAGGCCAGGACTTAGAAGTGCTTGGGGCTGGTCCTAGCATCATGCATTTCGTCAGACTATGTCACCTCTCTGGGCCTTATTTCATCTGTCTGCAAATGACTACCTCTAGTTGGCCGTGCTCACTGCGCTGATCTGCTGTGACGCCCCAAGGAGAACACAGAGCGCGGTACTGGACACACACGTTCAGAGGGGCCAGAGTTCGAGTCCCAGCCCTGCTGCTTCCTAGCTGGGTGACCTTGGGCAAGCTGCTTAACCTCTCTGGGCCTCCATTCCCCCATTCGTACAATGGGGTGACAGTGTGACCCACCCCTCAGGAGGGTTATGAGGACTAGATGATTTGCAGGCAGCTCACGGGCCCCCTTGGGAATGGAGGGTTCCCAAGTAGTCAGCACCAGTAGTCAGCGCCTATAAGAAGCGGTAGCTCTTATTTGCATGAGGAAATAAAAGGGGAAGTCCTTTATTAAGTGTCACAAATATAACAGGACTTGATTCCTTCACGTAGACCAGAAATTTCCAACTGGTGTGTTGCAAGAATTTTTAAAACAGGCAATACCTGACTATTTAGCTGGGGGCACTAACCTCTTTCCTCTTAAACTGTCAAATTTAAAAAATGACAATAGCCAACACAACAATAGCTGTTCAGTGTGAATGAATCAAAATTATCCTTTTTGTTTGTTTGTTTGGTCAGATTGCCAAAAAACAAAGAGCATAATCCAATTTTTGGTGTGCTGCAGAATTTCAGTCATTAGTTTATATGTGCCATGAGATGGAAAAGGTTGAAAATCACTGATGTAGACAATGGCATTCTTCTCTGGGGATCCCTGAAGATGGAAAAGGCAGGGCTCGGGGGAGGGAGTCCCAGGTCCTCCCCAGGACAGTGTAGCTGGCCTGT